TTGACCACGTGACACCGATGTTGCGTGACCTTCACTGGCTGCGCATCCAGCAGCGCACGCAGTTTAAAGTCGCTGTTCTGACGTTCCGCTGCCTCCATGATTTAGCACCACCTTATCTCGCTGAAGGCCTGCGACGCGTGTCGGATCTGCCTTCTAGAAGGCGACTGCGTTCCTCGTCGAAGGCTGACCTCGTCGTCCCGTCCTCACGTCTGTCCACAGTCGGCGACAGAGCGTTCCCGGTCGCTGCGGCCAGAACATGGAATGGTCTGCCAGCATCGGTGACATCTGCTTCTTCGCTGCCGTTGTTTCGTCGACGCCTAAAAACAGAACTTTTCCGTAGAGCCGTCGAATCTTAGACCTAGCCGTCATCTAATCTATTATGTATATTAGTGGTTTAGCATAGGTGTTGTCTGTTCTAGCATAGACGTCGTCAGTCTTGGCATATGCCCTTTGTTTTAGCATAGACGCCATCTGTTTTTATCCTCTCGTGTGTTTTTTAGCCACTTGTAACGTGCCCTCGAAGTTCGATCCGAACGAGACGCCACGACAATCTCTTCGTGGAATAATAATAATAATAATGAAATTAGTATCAACGAATTCTTTCCTAGCAAAGATGTTTTGTGATTTAGTCTCAAAAAGTTTGATCTTTACATTTTCACGTGAAAGCCACATCATATTGCTGATACCCGCCTGTTAAATCTCTTTTCTCGTTCTTACCCGGAATAAGTAAGAACTTTTCCTCATTTACTATATAATATTTCCTAAAAAAAATAATAATTAGTGGCAATAAAATAATAATAAATAAGATATTTTGTGATTTAGTCTCAAATAGTTTGATCTTTGATTAAATGTTATTCGAATGAGGAAAAGTTCTTACGGGTAAGAACGAGAAAAGAGATTTAACAGGCGGGTATCAGCAATACGATGTGGCTTTCACGTGACTTGAACAAAATATGATCTTGTTTTGTGTAATATAGTTTATTTGTCTATTTTATTGATCGGTGATAACGGCGAGCATTTTTTCTGCTGAGAGATGGTGAATGGAAGATCTCATTATTAGTGAGAAATAGAGTTAAAATTGGTACATTCATACGTTCCATTTAAGAAACAACACATAACAAAGACCCTAATATGCCACGTGGAACTCCGTTCATTTGCTGCAAATGGCAGTGTTCGGCACCCTTTCTTTACATTAATGCTAACACTTGCTCCGAACGATGTCTAGTCAATACACAGAAACGAATGAGATTATTACACGTATCGTATGGGAAAAATGAGGAAAAATGAAACATATTGTTTATCGTCACTCGTTTCTGAGAGCAGCGAGCGCAGCCACGCTCGTGTACAATATCTGATTGGTCTGACTCTATTACATTTATTAATTATTATAAATATGAATAGTCCATTATATCCAATGTTGAATCATTATTCTTAAATATTTCGTGAAAAATAACCAATCCTCCGCCAACATTCGAAGGCTGAGTTCGTTTTTAGATAGTGCCAACTCGACTTATTTAAAAATAGAAGCAAATGTTGTCAAACAAACTTGGTCTCAACTAGCATCAAAGCTTGATTTTTATCCTGAATTTAGTTTAATTGAGAAGTTATGCAGATCGAAGAACGTTGATAATGAAAAAATATTGATTTATAGTTCGTCAAAAATGTGAAGCGAATTTATGTGTTGAACACTGGCAGTTTAATCCAATATTGCTCGAGACTTGATCCACCTGAGCTCTGATAATCTTTGTTTTGCATCAGCTATCACCGCTGTGATCGTTATATAACTAATACGCTAATATTGTTTTTATGTGAGCTTCAGATTAAAATAATTTATTTCATGTAATATATTAATTTTCGCAAGTAACCCTCATCCTTCATTTTGCAACGCCTCACGATGGAGCTGGAAGGCAAACAGAGATAAGTCAGTGAAGCTGAAAGACAAGTAAACAGTAGGAGTCATAAACATAAATTCAGATCAGAAAATAATGTAAAATGCACGGAAGTGCACAAAAAGTTTTAATTTTGTAGGTGGCATGTGAGTCGTCGGCTCAAGGTCGTACTTGTAAGTCCAATGTAGTTCATGTTTGGAAGAAGTCTACAACCTTCTTTATTACATGAAAATTTATAAACCACATTAGTTTCTTGAAGCAGACCAGTTTTTTTACAGGGATTATTATTCATTGCAAGGTTTTTTATTTTCTTATTTTTGTAGTAGATCAGAAGTTTTATATTTTCGTTATCCGTTGTGCTCTGTAATTTGTGATTTTGTCCAATTTCATGGGTAAAAGTCAAGACTGATTCATGTTCCAAAGCTCTTCGCAGTTCGATCAAGTGCTCTTCGTCTCGAATGACAACAAAAATGTCATCTACGTATCTGCAGTAAAGCTCAGGCTTGATCTGTGCATTGAGCAACACTTGATTTTCCAGTTCACACATGTAGAATTCTGCAAAAGTTGGACCTAGACTACATCCCATGGCTACGCCGTTAATTTGTCGGTAAATTTTGTTATCAGAAGTCCGGAAGGGAGATTCTGATGTACAGAGGCGAAGAAGGTCAATTAAGATCTTTTTTGGTATAGATGGGGCTGGCAGGGTTTCGTGCGAATACACATGCTTCATGATAATTTCTAATGTTTCTTCGGTTGGTACATTGGTGAACAAACCATAGTAACATCCAGTGAAGCTAGCAGGCCAGTAGGGTGCGAGGCATGAAGAATTTCCAAGAAGTCATTTATAGATTTCAGAGAGTATTTCTTAGGGATATACAGTATGGTTTAATTATAGCGTCGAGTTATTTAGAGGTCTTGTATACGGGAGAAGTTACTTGCGAAATTATAGGCCTTAGTGGGTTGTCTTCCTCGTGAGTTTTGACGTTTCCATAGAGGTAGCCTGGAGAGTAGCTCCCAACAATCCGGGTAAGTTTTATAGATCCAACTGCAGAGTTTGCTGTGTTGATCAATTTATTAGCTCTCCTCTGAATCTGTTGAGCTCTGAGAACAACCAAACTGTCGCTGTGTTCAATCGGTCATTACTGGGACATTATTCTAACATTTTTTTAATTACTTGTATGGCAAGTATACAGCAATAAATTCATACATGTCTTGTCCGCAATATTCTCATTTTCCTTAATTTTAATATTTGAAGCTATAGATTTGGATGAATATATTTCATTGTGCACTTATTTTGCTCCACGCAGCAACAGTATTGTTCTCATACTTTTATTTCTGCATTTAGAGACAAGTTTCCGTCTTAGCGTTCTCCGCAGCGAGGTCTCGGACAAATTTACGGCCGGTCTCACGGCCAATCTCCTAGTTCAGTTACCAAGGAATATCTCCCAAACTAATGAACGCAGCTCCATGAAAAGTAGTACACGCATTCATCAGAACCTAACGGTGATGTTTAGCTCGTGAAAATGTTATCCATATCACCTTCATTCGTGAATTAAACGGCAATTCGGGCTGAAATTTGCATTGACCAAGAAATTTATTTTAAACTACTGAACAGATTTGATCGTAACTTTGAATATACATTCCTATCCTTCCAATGGTGATGTTTAGCTCATGACAATTTTTTCGATTTTACTTTCGATTTCAAGTTTTTTCCATTTCACCTTCATTCGCGAGTTATACAGCAATTCGGGCCGAAATTCGCAGTGACCAAGAAATTTCTCCAAAACTTCTGAACAGATTTGAATGAAACTTTGAATGAACAAACCTAACCTCCCAAGGTTGATGTTTGGCTCGTGAAAATTTTTTCGATTATGCCTTCGTTCGCGAGATACGATTAATATCGCACAATGAATTTTTGTAATACTCTATCACAATAATAAATCGCTGCAAATCCTACAATATCAATACCGAGTATTTAATTATTTTCTTTCTTGTCTCACTGAATCGATCAACTAAAGAAATTGAAATTATGCGTAGTAAAGAACTAATTTACCAATTTTATATCCATGAGCCAATGTTCTTAGCTTCATTCTATAACGTGTTTGAAGATGACTGTACAAGCATTAGAGGCGATGACTATAACCAATCTATTCAATATGTACAAGCATCAGAGTTGGGCGTCAGCCTAATTTAATATGTCTTTTGGTTGTTTGAAACACGATTAAAATTATTCTGACAGTAATTTAATATTATTGACAGTATTGTCGCATATATCAGCCAATTAATCCCATAATAACTCATTCAGTGACCGAGTTAATTATTGAATTGCGTTTTGGATCAAATTCTAAATATTTTGAAATGCACTCTCATCGCATTTCCGACATAATTTTTTTATTAGCCATGGTTGATTTAGCCAATTATGAGATTTTGATTCAAAGCATCGCACCGCAAATTCATATTGGCTGACAGCCAGTCGTATTCACACGGCTAAATAGCACAGTATGAGTTATACAGTATACAGTAGTTATCAGGCATGTAGTAGCTGCCCGTTTTTACTGTCCAGTGACAAACTTTAAATAAACCACAAACCATTTATATATCATTAATTGATTGCATTTTCACAAGGGACTTTCACTTGTGTTTCACTTACACTTATGTATATTTTCTTTTAATAGGAAATGTTGCATAAGAATTTTATTCGCCTGCTCACTTCAAACGAAAAATTCTATTGAAGCATGATAATCAATGGAACGTATGAATACACAGCTACTCAAGTATTTATTTTCTTTTATTAAGGCACACAGATTTGAGTTGCACTTCTTTTCCGCAACTGTACTTCCCAAAGTCTCCGGTCAACATTCTGTCCGTATTACTGTAAACTTGTAATGGGCAGAACAGAAACACATCATTGAGGAGAGGCTCTTTATTGGTTCAACACAACACAGGAAAGCTTTAATAAGGCAAGTGAGGAAGGCGTAAAATAAAAGCTCTATTTCAACAGATAAACTCAACAGCGACAGTTCTTTAACAGCGTTGGAATCTGCCATCAGTAGAGCGCGTGATGCCGAGTGATGGAACACTAGTTGGAACACACTCGTCACAACACACTCGTCACAACATTATCCATACTGGCAGCCAGGAAACTGCAGTGTCTGCAAGATCCTCGCTAGTTCTTAGTGTCAGAACTTATCCATACTGGCAGCCAGCAAACTGCAGTGACTGCTAGATCCTCGCTAGTTCTCAGTGTCAGAATGTATCCATACTGGCAGCCAGGAAACCGCAGTGTCTGCAAGATCCTCATTAGTTCTTAGTGTCAGAACGTATCCTACTGGCTCAGCAAGAAATAAGCCCTGTCAATTCATTGGCGAGGCAGAATAATGCAGAATATCTCAGCATGGAGAAATAGTTTCTTTCTGAAGACAAAATTGAAATAAGCATAGGTAACTAAGAATTTTTGACAAATGGAAGCCATAAGAAGGCCCATGAAATATTTCACTCAGCACGCAAAGCTAAAATATCAAGAAAAATCCTGAAAAATGTGTGTGTGTTGTAGTAACCGCCTCAATGCTTCTCAGCACTGCTTCAGGGATGTGTTGGGGCCGATGCAGAGGGCCAGTTCTTCATACAATGTCTTGCAATCAACCGGATTAATATCTTTAGCAGAGGCATCGAATACAGCACATTTTTTAGAGGGATTGACCCCGCCATAAACAGGAAGGGTAACATTCTGGCCGTCGGGAAGCCAGCGGTAGTAGCCCCCTTCTCCAAGCTGCGTGTTGATCCAGAAATACGAACCTGTGCCTGAAATACATTAATAATTATTTAACACTAATTAATCATTGAAATTGATCAGTAAGACTTGTCTCTTAGAGTAATTTCTGTCATTACTAGTCTGTAACCAGTATTTTTTAAAGTCCGGATGAAAGTTGAGTTATATGATTTAAAACTGTCTGAGGTGATACCAGACAAACTCTAGAAAAAATGTAATACAACATAAGTGGCCAGAAAGAGGAAAATTAAATATAAAAGAAGCTGGCGACGTGAATAGGAGCACAGTGAATAATCAGGTTGATTGAAGGTGGATGAGGTTGGGTTGGGTTGGGTTGGGTTGGGTTGGGTGTAAGAGGGGAAGAGAACCCGTAAAGGCTCTTATTTAAGGTTAGCGCGGAGGATGGATGGGAAGATGATGGTTCATTATTTACTTTATTTGCATATTCGTGTACTATTAAGCATAAATAGATTATGTGCACTCTCCACATACATGAGTTTCGCATTTTAAAGTATTTTAGTGTTTTGTTATTTTCTTTAGATGAATGATATAATGAAGGTGAGAGTGATGATGAGGTGATGATAATGTGGTTACTGAGGTAAGAAATTCATGCCATACTCATCAGATAGGCTTGGTAGGCAGCAGTTATGTTGATAAAAGGCGTTTAGTCTCGTCATTAATATGGGCCATTCTCGGCGTGATTCGTCAGTCAGTAATCGTATTATGGATAACTGCCCATTACCCATTCATTTATAACTGACTTACATGTTCGGCATGTTCCGTCGTGTAGATGCTTTTGGTTTGTTTGAGTCATAGATACCTATGTGTACAAGTGAAGATGTGGGGGGTCTAGTGCTTGTAATTTGAAACTTCCGAATCGCTGGTGTTGCTTTGCAGTGATGTCTCGAATTAGAGTTCGTCGGTTGATGAGTTTCGGGTCATTTATTATGATGCGATTTATGTGTCATTTATTATGATGTGATTAACAGCCGTCAGTGATTGGCAGACGGATATGAAAATTTTTTACTCCAAACATTAAACGGCCCAAGTCCTGTCAGTACGTAGATCAAAACTCACCAGAAAATGTTTTTGATTTAGTTAGCGCGTATTCCTGAATTTCGGTGTTGGTCTGCAACTCGTAGGACGCCAGCTGCAAGCCGAGGGCCTCGCACCGGGTTTTGGCCTCGCAGTACGAGACGTCTTCACTCCAGTCAGGAGGATTACTCCTCGCCGTAATCTCGACGCAATGTCCGGCTATTATTTTATTGCAGCAAGTCAGCCTTTGCGGCATCAGTTCACGGTCGTACGGGGTTTCAGCATAATCTGAAAATAAGGCAAAGTAATCTCTCATTTATTGCCGGTGTTACGTACCCAGATCCGGTCGCTATAAGTGAAATCCAACTTAAAAAATTATCTACTGTTAGTACTTATTCGAGTATTTATATTGAAATTGCATAGTAAGTTATCATTGTTTTACGAGTATTTACAATAATTAAATTATAAGTTTTTCTATACTTTTTCACAAAATTTTAGATTATTTTTCTAAATACCAAGAGATAGACTTCCCCAAAATTCCGCTAACCAGCAATAATAAGCGAATGATTATTCCCATTTATATCACTGGTCAACAGAGAAAATGATTCTGATATGATATTGTGTGGGTTTCAAAACTGGTAAAAACTGGGTTCCAAAACCGCTAATTTCAAAACTGGCTTTGTTATTTCCTAGCACGTCTAGGTTTTTAAATATTCGCATTTTTAAGTAAAACTTATAAAAAATTTTTATATGCATATATGATTACTTAGATTGAAACGAATCCCCTAAAATAATAGAAATTATTTGTAATTAAGGTTTGTGGTGCCTGTGTCTATATTTTGAGTTGTTATGGAGGACAAACGTGATTGCCAACAATCTTAATGATGTTTTTCTGTCTGTCAAGTAGTCTGAAAGTGTTTTTGTAAATATTGGGCGTAGGTTTAGCACGATTTTGTATTGAAGTCCGGTGGTCACTGATTTTGGTCACTGCGTGGGGTATTATATACATACAACATATCTGTATGTAGTGTGTCGAACAAGGTGAATAACAAGCGTCTGGGTCTGGTGTAATATGGCTAATGCCGTTTGTGCTCTTTGTTTGTGTTCCCTGAAACCAAACTATCTAGTGTTGTGAATGGTGAGGTGCTCATATAATCTATTGTTCAGTATTTCATCTTAAAGCTTGCAGTGTATGGCTTATAGTAAAATAGGGCTGTAGTTCTGCACTTGGTGATGAGATGTGGCGGGTTTTAAGGGGACATGCTATTTTGAGTTGGGTAAATAACCAACGGAGATGAAGTGATTGATTATGTACATCAGGTAGTGGATCATTATTTTGAATACCGGTAGGTATCTGAGGTAGAGGATTTTGATGCCTGGGAAACTCGGTGCTTTCTGTAGAAATATTTTCAGTGGCGCCGTAGTTCTCCATTGGTTTTGGGTAGAAAGTCTACAAGGTGGAGTCGGGGAAGGTCGCCATGATTGCATGGGTGAATGAGATGAATGTTGTTATACGGGGCCTTATAAGGTGTGGATGTGATCGATGTCAAAGTCTTCGTTGTTTGTGCCGTTCTAAGTGAATATGTCCTGCCAGTGTTAGTGGAAGATGTATTTTTTGTTCTGGTTTGTCGAATTGGATTTTTTTGTGTTTGAGGTATAGGACGCTTTGTTTGGCGTCGGATCCTAGCATGCGCTTTAGGAAAAACCAGAATTTTCGTGATCTGTTCTTGTTTCTAAAATGCTAATGAGGTTCTATCATGTCTGTGTTTGGAGGAGTCTGTATGCTATGTGTAGTTGTTGGCATGGGGTTACGAGTTGTCTGTTAAGTGCCATTGATGGCTTGAAGAGTGGCTTGGCATGGAAGAGTGGCTTGGCATGGAAGAGTGGTTTGATATTGTGTTTGCAAAAGCAATGTTTCGTGAATGGGTATGATGCCTGGAATGATGCGGGGTGTTATGATGGGATAATGGTCCAGTTGTCTAAGCATGTGCCTATTTCTTTAATGCAGGGTCTGGTATAGTGGGGGTCTGAATGTGGGGGCTATTATTGGACTGCAGTCTGAAGGTTGTGGAATGGATCCTTGTATGTGAGTGTTGGGAAATGCCTTCTGTTGCTTATGACCCTGTCTGGTAATGACATGAGGCTTTGACACCATTTGCGCAGGTTATTAGTGTTGTGTTTTTTAGCATTTATGTCTGCGAGTAGGTAAACAAGATGGGGTATACATCAAGTATGTATACTTGATGTATTCTGTACGTGTCTGGCTGTGTATTGCTCCTGTAGTGATGGGAGTGTCAACTGTATTTGTTAGCATTTGAATGTGAAAAAAATTGTATGTGAAAATTTGTAAGGTATGAGTCTCCTAGTGGCTATGGCAGCACCGAAATGTAGTGTGTTGTCATTATTACAGTACATTGTAGTTGAATGTAAGTACATTGTAGTTGAATACTTCAAGTATGGGGTTGTCATCCGTCCGTCGTGGCATTGCATCCGGTCATTGAGGCATTTTTTGCGGTGTTAGCGTAACTGCGTTGTTAGCTTTAGCGTTGGTGTAACTGCGGTCTCATATAGGAGGCGCATTCGGAGCAAAAGGGAGTAGGGATGTGGATTGGTGTGAGGGTGGTCTTCTGTTTTGTAACATTTTAAGTAGATAAGTAGGTGTGTGTACGGTTCTTGTTCGCATTGTTAGGGTGTTATTTTAATGTTTTACATTCAAAATACGTTTGTAAGTATGGGGGAGGGGGGGCTATTGTAGTGTCTGTGGTTTCGATTTTGATGATTGAGTGCAGCGTTTGTCTGTGATTATGTCCTGTATGTGTAGTCAGTTTTATTGTAAGTTTAATATGTGTTTGATTTCTTCGGTGGTGCGGCCTTCTACGTCTCTATCAAGCTGTCGTACATGAATGTTTCGCACTGCTTTAAGGTTGGGGGTATGTGAGAAAGTCATGTTGATTCTATGAAATGCATCAGCATCTTTTTTAAGGTGAGCTTGTCAATTGCAGTCGCGTCATCAGCTGTAGCGTAAAATATGGAGGTAGCGTCGGTAAGTCAAATTAGTGGGGCATAAGTTCGTTAAAAGTTGTACGGAAAATTTTGATTTGATCAGCCAGTGTCGTAACGCCAATTGTCTTCAGTTGGACAAACCCATCGGGTTATGAGGGAGAGGAGGGTGCAAACGGTGGAGAGGGAGCGACATTCCAGGTAAACGTTTTTCGTGCACTTCCACGTTTAGAAAAATTTCTAAACATAGGCAGGGAAAAAAATAAGTCGCACTTTTCTAGTGACACGCGCTTACGTCACAGAGTTGGCTGATCCGGAAGGCGTGAGAAAGGACCATTGAACAGTACCACATACGTAGGCGCTGGAGAGCCCGCGTTTGGCTTAAATTAAATCAAATCCGCACACATATAATATCTAAAATAGTGTTATCTCTCTGGAGTCAGTTCACTGACCATTGAAGACGAGGCCTGTGTTGTCGCTGTTGCTGCGGAGGCACCCGTCAACTGTAAACATAAATAATTTAATCCGTTGTTCTCGAACAGGTGCCGCGGAGCTAATATTAGAGGCCATGCATTTTGTTGCAATTTTTTTATAATGATACTAATATAAAAATATCGTCTCGAGCATTAGGCATGACGGTTAAAGACTTTTAGATTTGTTTAAATCCCTGTTAAAAATCATTTTGTTAGTTACTTGGTTTTTAATAACTTTAAATTGAACACCGTTGCAGGTGTGGCGGCCAGTGGCTAGCCTCCGTCAATTTCAACTAAATAAACGAAAAAATTTTATTCAGTTGGGGCGCCAGGCGGTGAATTATCGCACAACAACAAGAATCAGCAGCTCCTGTGGTTTCATCATCAAACAATAAAGTCAGTGGTTGGCCTCTCATAATAGGACGCTGATCATTCAACACAATTCGCAGTATCTTACTCCCTGCTGTGTATACCTGATACCAGTTCTAAGTCAGCACCCTCCTGACAATAATATTATAATTATAAGGGCATGGCGTCACATATTATATTTTGAAGTCTTTGCTGGATCGTGTGCTTGTGTTAGGTTTCCTTGATAACATGAATAACATCGTCATACACTATCTGCTCCTGCCTATTGTGGCTTTACTCTTATTTGACTTGAGATTCATATTCGTTACTATTTGGGTGTTAATTAACTAATCCACACAAGATATACTGATGAAGAATACAGGTTAATTGAATAATACAGAATATTAATTTCAACTTGAACAATTAACTGCACAAAAGCCATGAAAGAGAAACTTACGAGGACACTAACTTTACAATGAACAATGACGTGGACAACTTAAGAGGCGTCATGACGTAGAAAACTTACGAGGCGTCATGACGTAGACAACTTACGAGGCGTCATGACGTAGACAACTTACGAGGCGTCATGGCGTAGACAACTTACGAGGCGTCATGGCGTAGACAACTTCAGCAGGCGCGTCACCGCAGTCCTGCTCGTCGTTCTGGATGCCGTACAGAGTTATGCCACTAGCGGCTCCTGCATAACAAGAGCCGTTGATCTTGAACACGGGAGCGTCTGAGGAGGAAGGATTACTTGAGTCAAATTTGTATGAATCAAATTTGCTTGAATCAAGCTTGCGTGAATCAAATATGAAGAAACTATTATTATTAACCGTCATGGAAATCTAAGACATGAACTGAAATAACATCTAGTATTATAAACTTTCGTGGAAAAACCTGTGCGAATCTAGATTTACTGAATTGAGCTTATATGAATCATAGTCCATGAATCAAATTTAACGAATCATACATACGTAAATGAAACGTAAACGAATATGACATAAATGAATCAAACATGCCTGAAAATAACATATATGAATCCATCATACATGAATTCTACAAGCATGAATCAAACGTACATGAATCAAAGTAGCGAAATGTCAAAAAAAAACTTATTTTAAATGCATTTTCATGAATCGATATCATCAAATCAAGCATACTGAAAAAAAAATATTTCGACAAAACGTACATTCACTAATCAAAATTTCATTTAATTTACATGAATCAAACTCTCTAAATCTAGCATAATTGAGTCAAACGTTGTGCATCAAACTCAGATGAACAAAACTTCAATGAACTAATTTAAAAAATCAAATATTTATACGTGAATCATATGTATATGACTCACACTTATATATGCGTCTAAGGCATATGTTTATCATTTACAAAGCAATCGGAGGTAAATACCATTTTACAGGCACTCATTTTACAACTTATTGAACCGAACATGCACTAATGTAATATTCACGAATGAAATTAGCATCAATAACAATTAATTGCAGTACAATAATTAAAAAACTAATAATGTGAATAAATCAATTTCCCAAAAAATAATTATATTTTTCAGTAATAATCAGGTTTTATTGCGATTCACTACGATCAAAGAAGCCTATTCTATTCTATGAATCAAACTTAAGTAAATACAGCGAACATGTTGTTTTTACATAAATACAACATAGATGAAACATGCATCAGACACACATACATAAACTTACTTGAATACATTTCTGATGAGTCGAATTTATTTGCATCATGCACACTGAATCGAGAATACTTGGTCAAAACGCAGATTCAATGAACAAAATTTAATTCAAAAACCAGGATGAACCAAACTCTCAAATGTTGAACGAAGTTTAAATAAACATCGTGCATCAAACTCAGATGAATCAAACGCGTACAAAACAAGCTTTACTGAACCAATCTGATATGATATGAATCAAAAATATAGATGCGTTTGTAGCATATGATAATCATTGACAAATCTAGCATACTTAAATATAACTTTGAGGGCACTCATTGTATAATTTATATGAATCAAATATGTAAGTAAAATAATATTTATGAATGAAACTAACATTCACTAAAATTATTTTCAACAAAATTTTGCCAATAAACAAGTTTGAATGCAATTCAATACAATCAAATGTGAAATAAGCCTAATCTTATTCGCTATAATTGTGCCCGGGGTCAATGCAACTCACTCCTCGCAAACGCGGCGTCCGCGCAGGCGATGATGTCCGTCGATGCGCCGCTGCTGTTCAGCTTCACCCAATCAACAGCAGTCACATTCTTGGGGGCAAATCTGCGGTATTCTTTGCCGCCTCCGAGGTCAATAGAGAACAGTTCCCCCGTGACGGTGTTGGCGAGAGCGGAGCACGTCGCGAACAAGTTGCTCTGGACGCCACCAGCGAGCACAAACTGTGCAGTAGGTTCAAGTTAAGGGACAGTAAACGAGTCATGATCAAGCAGCAATCAGGGGAGAACCGGACAAAAAATATACAACTGTTTTCAAAAGCAGTGTAACAGGGTAATGGAGTCGTGCGCTTCCAAATCTAAAAAATGGAAACAATTCCAAATCTAGAATACTAGTGTGATTTATTAATAACGAAACCAGTTTTTTGGCCACAATACCGACTTAAGTAATAGAAACACTATATATATATGAGGTGATTATGACTATGGTGATTATGATGATGGCGAGTAAGACGGGAGAGATTCAGAAAGTATATCGGGGAGTCAGCTTTTAGGTTGAAGCTTTTTGTTATTGCGGTACCACTAGGGAAGTTTGGAAAAGAACAGGAGGAGGCAGAGCGTTTCCAGAAAGATTAAGGAGAAATTGAGAAGTCAATATGAGATGAAAAAGGCGCATTGCGCATAACTTCGTTGATCTTAGGTGTTTTAGGTTTGAGGTTGGGGAGGGGAAGGGAAAGAACCCATCAGGGCTGTGTATGGCACACACAGGGGGGAGCGATGGAGGAGTGGTTGTTCATTATTTACATTTTTCACCATAAAGATAGAAGAATCGTATTAGTTGAGTCTGGTTTCCAAGATACGAAAGTGAATAAAAGTTCAAGACAGAAACAAGATCAGAGCGAGAAATCAAAGAAAGTTAGAAAGGAAGTTTCCTACAGCAGCCGATCTAATCTCAGGGCAAGGAGCCTATTGTTTGTTTTATAGTGGAAAGCACAGAACTGAACCCTGTTGGAAGCCAAACAAGTTGACCTTCAATGAAAGGCATGAAAAAATTGATGAAGGCATGAGGCATATTGTGTCTTAAGCCAGAACATTATGCAGAGTCTTGTCGCTAGTACATCAAGTTGTAGCCACGCCCCGCACGTCTCCAATTTTTGTACCGCGATTTTTCTTGTAATTTTTTGCCATCATTCAACAGTTATGTCTTATATTTTTTCTGTTAAATTCATAATCATGTTTTCATAAGTGTCTTATATATTTGGTTTTACTAGCATTTTCACCTAGATAAACATCCTGCTTTTCACGATAATTCGATACGCTTCACTTTTATTCTGCCAGTCGAGAAGCGCGTTGCACTTCATTGATGTTAAATCTTTCGTGAATAGTTATATTGTGATATGTAAATTTGTGCGTGATATTTGTGAATAGTTCTGCTGTGACATCTAAATTTGTCTTGTGATATTTATGAATAGTAATTTTGCTAGGAACAACTAAGATTAAGTATTATTGCTACATCTTAAGTTTGTTATGCTTTGTTTACAGAACCTTACTCAGTTAGGAGCATATGTTCAGTCTTAAAATGCCTAGCAAATTACGGACCAGGCAATAAGTCCAGCAGCTATCTCAATCAATCGTCAGCTATGGAAAGATCGGGTTCCAAAGGCCGGATCCCTTGTGAATCAAATCACGAAAAGTTCAAGAATCGGCAATAGGCCATGGGCCTATTTCTTCAACGCCGACACTTCTATTCTATTCTATCACGATCAGTTAGCTTCAGTGCGTGCCATCCGTTGGGTTCACTTTGAGTTTATTTTGGGTTCATAACCGAGGTTATTTTGGCTTCATTTTGTGTGTTATTACCAGTGCCTTCGTTAACAATAAATAAACAAAAATACAACCTTACGTCCCTGCACGGATAAAGTTTCGTTTGTCTGGTAGGCGCTGAAGTAAGAGCGGCAGGCGTAGCAGTCGCGCTTACAAAGTCTCAAATCAGCAGCTAAAAACACAAGATAGTTATTTGCCGTCAGTTGGCAAAAGGAGCGAGGTCACTAGAAAGTAAGGCAGTCAGAACCGTCTGAAACGTAGTTAACCAGCACCCTTTACCCAGAGATGGCCGCCTATCAGTATAACACCCAGTGTAACAACGAATTTCGATGCTGGTAAAAGGGCGAAGCTCGGAATCCAGTCAACCTCAAACAGTGAGACTATTATTTGATGAGTGAAGTCAAAGGAGTTCCATAACCTCATCCTTGGTGAAGGAATTGAGGAGTCAACCGGTGGGAGAGAATGTATCCAGAGACATGCTTCCNCGACCTGAAACACAAAATCAAAGTCTACATCAGCACAACGACGACCTGCAACGCAATCAAAGTTTTAAGGTGAATGGCCCAATTTTAATCAGCCGCGTCATCACGCTGGCCATCGATGAGAGCAGCGGACAACGCGGGAAATTCCTAACACTGATAATTTAATCTAATTTAATAATTTATATTTATAATTTAATTTAATCATAGTTATATGCGCATCTCGGTTCCATTAATATCGAAAACCGACATCTCGCTAAGTTATACTGACCTGCCGTGAAAGTTCATAAATATGAGAAGAAATGAATGCATGCATCTGGTTAAGCTACTAAGTTATAATTTTCAATTATAATCACTGGCGAACACTGAATCATGATATTTAATTTAGCGTACAACTTTTTAAATCTTCCTGCATACTCCCGTCTTATCTATACTCCACATTTTTGGCGTTAACGACACACTTTCCAACCCAAAGCACTAACAGAGAGAGGACGTAGCACTGATACGCTCATTTGCCGGGCCAAACCCTCACAAGGGGAAAAATGCATCAATATTTGGACGATGTCTGGCTCATTACTCTAATAGATGGATATCAGAGACATATGGTTAGAATTAGGTCCTACGAGTTTATCTACAGATGATGTATAATGATTCAAAAATACATCATGTAGGACACTGTAGAACAAAACAAGGCGGGACAGAGAAACGCATGATCTAAATCACAAATTCACTAGATAAGGGTAAACTATTTAGCCCAGTGGTTCCCAAAGTGGGCGATATCGCCCCCCTAGGGGCGATGGAAAGATTTTGAGGGGCGGTAAAGAAGAAGAGGGTGATAAGGGGGCGATAGAGGGGGCGGCAGTCCGAAGTCGAAGTCAGACGTTCGAACGTTTGTTTGACGATTTGTACACAACACTTGCAGCACATGACTCCCAGGGATGGTTTTTTCACCCAGATCTGTTTTTAGCGCATTTTCTCATTTATGAAAAAAATTCACTATTGTGCTCGCGATGTCCATCCGTCTGTCTGTCCGCCTGTCTGTCCGCCTGTCTGTCCGTCCGTGACTTCACTTTTTCGTCGACGAGAAAATGCGCTCTCTGTCAACCTCTGCAGTGAGTACTGAGTTATATTTTTTTAACCTCTCCTGGATTTACGTCTCCTACCAATTAACGGCCGGTCTCACGGCCAATTTCCAAATTCAATGATCAAGGAATATCTCTCAAACTAATGAACTTAACTCGATGAAACTTGGTACACGTATTCATTAGGACCTTACGGTAATTTAAAGCTCGTGAAATTTTTTTTAATTTTGCCCTCAATTGTTTTTGCCATAGTTATATGGCAATACGGGCCGAAATTCACATTGATCAAGGAATTTCTTCCAAACTACTGAACAGATTCGAACGAAATTTTGAATTTACAGTCCTAACTACAGAACGGCGATGTTTAGCTCGTGAAAATTTTTTCGATTGTGCCTTCGTTCGCGAGTTTCATTCGTGATTTAAACAGCAATACGTGCTTCAATTCGCACTAATCAAGAAATTTCTTTCAAACTACTGAACAGATTTGAACGAAATTTAGTATTTTAATACCTAACCTAAGCAACGGTGATGTTTAGCTCGTTACAATTCTTTCGTTTTGCCTTCGTTTGCGAGTTATACGGCTATACGTAAACGGCTCTTGGTTAAACCAGCCGGTAGAAAAGCCGGTCGTTCCTCCAACCTATATCTGTATAACTGGCTAATGGAAGCGAATAAGGAAGAGTGAAATCAAGAATAACAGTGAAATGAAATAAATATTGCAAACGACGGCAAAATAAAAAAATTGTTTGAATCTAAAAAACACCATTTGGTAGTTAGGAATGTATATTCAAAATTTTGTTCAAATCTGTTAGGTAATTTGGAAGAAATTCTTTGATCACTGCGAATTTCGGCCTGTATCGCAATATGACTCACGAATGAAGGTGATATTTAAAAAATTTTCGCAAGCTAAACATCACCGTTAAGTTCTGATGAATACATGTTCCAAGTTTTATTGAGCTGCGTTCATTAGTTTTGGTGATATTATTTGATAATTGAATTTGGAGATTGGTCGTGAGACTGGCCACGAGTCCGGGCCGTAAATTTGCCCGAGACGCCCTAGGTTTCTAGTGCTGAAACAGTTAAAACAGCTGAAAAACATATTGGTTCACTAAAATGGGTTCTATTTGTGAAATACACATTCGTGTTTAACCTATATCTTTTAAAATTGCAGCGTACTAAATTTTATAGAAAGAGGCGCATGATTTTATATGTGGAAATTTAAAAGCGAAGAAAACACCACAAAAATTCAGCATATCTCCACTGAAAACATTTCGGAGACCAGCTCCATCGTCAGTTCGATAAATCTAGAACACAAATGAAGTTAGAAATTAATAAAGTTTAGAGTAAAAAAAACACAGAAGTTGAAAACCTAAATTTACAGGTTTTTAACACAGGTTTTTTACAGGTTTAATTTTTTTTCTAAATTTAGGTTTTTAACTTCTGTGTTTTTTTACTCCAAACTCTATTAATTTCTGACTTTATTTGTGTTCTAGATTTATCGAACTGACGATGGAGCTGGTTTCCGAAATGTTTTCAGTGGAGATATGCTGAATTTTTGTGGTGTTTTCTTCGCTTTTGAATTTCTAGTGAATCTGCGATTAAAGCAATCTAGTGACATTATTAATTTTATATGTGTCTGTGGGGGGCGCTAGAAATTCACCAGGGAGCCAAAGGGGGCTCCAGCCTGAAAAAGTTTGGGAACCACTGGTTTAGACTAATCGCGGTTAGCATGAACATCAGCTTAGCTCGCTAATTGAAACATGAAATTACAAGATGTTCGATGACTTCAACTGATCAGATGTGCACAACGCTGCTATTATGATATACCAACAAAATAATGTGAGGAGTTTTATGATTGCCGAC